TTCACATGCAGATGAGGCTACTGAAAATACCATGGCTTGGGTCAGGCACACCTTAGTCCTCAAACTGGCATCTTTGTTCTTGAACACTTTAAAAAGGTCTTGTGCAGATTTGCCTGATACAATACATCATTTGATTTCTTGATTGCTGCTTCCATAAGTTTTGATGGTATAAGTAAGCAAAATGAAGTTTTTTACAACTTCAATATTGTCTCCAGTTATTATGTTATTTATTGGTGCCATTGTGAGGATCTTTGTTTTTTTTTTTTTACATTGAGATGCAATCCATACTGAAGGCTGTGCTCTTTGATCTTCATCAGTAAGTATTTTAAGGCCACTTCACTTCCAGCAAGCAATGATGTATCATCTGCATGGCGCAGGTTGTTAACAAGTCTCCTTCCAATCCTGATGCCACACTCTTCTTCATATAATGCAGCTTTTCAGGTTATTTGCTCAGCATATAGATTGAATGAGTATGGTGAAAGAATACAACCCTGCTACACACCTTTCCTGATTTTATAACATTCAATATCTCCTTGCTCTGTTAAAATGACTACCTCTTGGTCTACGTACAGGTTTCTCGTCAGAAAAGTATTCTAGAATACCTATTCCTTTCAATGTTGTCCATAGTTTGTCATGACCCACACAGTTGAAAGTCTTTGTATAGTCAATAACTCACAAGTAAGCATCTTTCTGGTATTGTCTGATTTCAGCCAAGATCATCTGACATCGGTAATGAGATCTCTAGTTCCACATTCTCTTCTGAATCCAGTTTGAATTTCGGGCAGTTCTCTATTGATCTACGATTGTAACTGTTTTGAATTGTCTTCAGTAAAATTATACTGGTATATAATATTAATGATATTATTCAGTAATTTTCACATTTCTGCAGGCAATTGTTGTTTTTGCTAAGTGCCATTGAGTTGGTTACAACTCGTACCGACACTGTGTAGGGTTTCCAAGGAGTGACTGATGGGTTTGGCCCGCCGATCTTGTACCTCAAACTCACCTTGTGGTCCAGTGCATTATCCTGCAGCGCCACACCAGGACTCCTCTGTAGGCAGTGGGCATCATTTATTGCCCCTATTCAGAGTGGCTAGATTTGCAGCTTCCAGAGAACAACACTTCTCATGTATTAAGATAGAATTCTTAGAAGGCAGTCAACTACCACAAAGCATCTACTTTACATCCACTAGTAGCTATTATGTTGATACTTTGTTGTTGTTAAGTGCTATCTCATCTGTTCTGATTCATAGTGACCCTGTATAGAGTTTCCAAGGGGTGGCTTGTGGTTCAAACTGACCTTGCAGTCCACTGTGTTATCCTGCAGCACCATACCAGGACTCCTAATAGCTATTTACTGCCCCTGTTCAGAGTGATAGGGAGGTGACAAAAGAGATAAAGTATAGCTGTGCACCTTGCCATTGTTAAGTGCCGTCGAGTTGAACCTGACCCATAGTAACCCTATATAGTGTTTCCAAGAAGCTGCTGGTGAACTTGAACCAGCGACCTTGCAGTTCAAACAACTCTGCAGTCTAATGCATTAGCCACAGCGCCACCCCAGGACTCCTGTTGCTGTTGTTGTGTTGGTTCCGACCCATAGTGACCCTATATAGGGTTTCCAAGGAGCAGCAGGACTTCTAGCACCCCTTAAATCAGATAAAAACAGTTACCATTTAGTCAACTCTGACTCCTGGTAACCTCATGTGTGTCAGAGTAGAACTATGCTTCATGGAGGTTTCAATGGCTGACTTTTGGGAATTAAGATTGTCAGTCTTTTCTTCTGAGACACTGGGAATGAACTTGAACTTCCAACCTCCTGGTTAGCAGCTGAATGTGTTAAGCATGGGCATCATCCAGAGACTTTCCGAAATCCTTAGTTTAAGTGGTCCTTTTCTGGCTGCATCAGAACATCTCTTTTTTAGTATTATGTAGAAATGACTGTCTTTGTCCATCCAGTATTAATGTATACGCCTAACCTAACACAGATACTCTGCATATGCTTAGTAGCTATGTAGGAATAAATACAGTCCTTTGAGCCAGCTCTATGCTGATCTGAAAGGAGGATACGTTTGTCTTTAGCACCCCCTATCGTCTTCCATGCTGCAGAAGACCTTTTTAAAATGTTGAAGAGCAAAGATGTCAGCTTGAGGAGTAAGGTGATCCTGACCCAAGCCATGGTATTTTCAATAACCTCATATGCATGTGAAAGCTGGACAGTGAATAAGGAAGACTGTAGAAGGAATTGATGCATTTGAGTTATGGTGTTGGAGGAGAGTATTGAAAGTGCCATGGACTGCCAAAAGAACCAATAGATCCATTTTGGAGGAAGTGCAGCCAGAGTGCTCTTTGGAGGCCAAGATGGCCAAACTTCATCTCTCATACTTCAGACATATTGTCGGGAGGGACCAATCGCTGGAGAAGGATATCATGTTTGGTAAGGTAGAGGGTCAGAGAAAAAGAGGAAGACCCCCAACGAGATGGATTGACCAAGTGGCAGCACCGATGGACTCAAGTGAGGCAACAGTAGTGCGGTTGGCCCAGGACAGGACAGTGTTTCGTTCTGCTGTGCATAAGGTCGCTATGAGTCGGTACTGACTCGATGGCACCCGACAACAAATTGTCTTCCTTAACACTCTTTAAGCATTCCTTGTCACAATTCACTTTCAATATTACTGAAAAAATAATAAACCACCCAAACCCACTGCAATGGAGTCCATTTTGACTCATAGTCACCCCATAGTATAAAGAATTACCACATAGGGTTTTCAAAGGCACTACAGGGTAAACACTGGACTGCTAACCACAAGGTTGGCAGTTCCAAGCCACCAACTGCTCCTTGGAAACACAGGGTCACTATGATCTAACCGATTCGATGGTACTAACAACAATCTTTACAGAATCTGACTGCCACATCTTTCTCCTGCAGAGCAGCTGGTGGGTTGTAATTGCCGACCTTGTGGATACCAGCTGAGTGCTAGAACACTGTGTCGTTAGGGCTACTTTCACTATTACTGTTGCTGTGAAGTGCCATCGAGCTGGTCCAGACTCATAGTGAGCAACCCTGTATAGGGTTGCCAAGGAGTGACTGTTGATTTTAAACTGCCGACCTTGAGATTCAAACGCCTTGTATTTCAGCGTTGTATCCTACAGTGCCACATTACAACTATTATCAGGCAGGAGATGTAAAACGCATTATTTGGGACATGGATTTGCAAACGCTCACTCACTTCCGAGTCCTGTGTGGCACTGTGGAATCAAGCACAAGGTCGGCAGTTCAAACTCACCCAGCCACTCCTTGGAAACCCTACACAGAGTTGTTATGAACCCACTCAATAGCATTTATCAATGACTCACTTCCTAGTCTTGGTATGGCGCTGTACGATAAGAACTGGATTGCTAATCACAAGATCGGTGATTTAAACCCACCACTGGCTCCACCAGTAGCTCCTTGGAATCCAAAGGATTGTTGTTGCTGTTGTTGTTAAGTGCCGTCGAGTCAGTCAGTGACCCTGTATAGGGGTTCCCAGGAGTGACTAGTGGGTTTGAACTGCAACCTTGAGGCTCAAACTAACCTTGCAGTCCAGTGCATTATCTTGCAGTACCACACCAGGACTCCTAGGAATTTGAGCTGAACTCTGGTATTCTTCACAAGGAAGACAAGTGAGGCTTGAGAAGCAAGTAATTGTTCAAAAGGAGAAAACTGCTTGGGAGAGAGAGGTTATCAGGATTCTAGGAATAAACAGGAACCTGTCTCTTTGATACCTGCCTTCCAGGTGTCTGCTCCTATCAGGTTAGGATTTGAGGGACTACATCAGCTCTGGTAATGATATACCCCACTCCGCACATAGAAGACACCACTCTTGTTGGCTAGAGTGTGTTGGCCAGTGGTGGATCCAAGCTAGCTAGACCAGACTCTCTCCTCAGGGCATTTAGAATTACATTAGCTCTTCATGTGGTAGGAATCTTTGCACTAGTAAAGTTGGAGAGTAGTCTGTCCATAAGTTCTGTTCTGGAAACTCAGAGGTGACATATAAGATATTGATAGCTCTTAAGAGCCCATGTGTGGTTCCCCTTCTGTCTGTCCTCGGGTACTAATAGCCTCCCCCGTCCTTTATCCTTAACAATAATCCTCCTCTTCCATTTCTGATTTGGAATAACCAGTCATTTGTGTGGTTGTTATTTTCAAAAACAATCCTAAATAATATAGCTGTGGTTTTCAAACTGGATGTCAATGTGCCAGGGGACACTTACTAATGCTTTGGAATATTTTTAAATGTTAAGAAAAATCAGTACCATTTGCTTGACACCACACAATTATGATTCAGTTTGAATTTAACTATTTAACACATGAAAGAGTCAGGTGTGTGGATTATTTTGTCCAGAGAGTGCTGTGCAAAAATTGCCAGCAGGTGCTGAGAACTAAGAAAGCCTGGGAAACTGTAATACAGTTCATTGGGGCTTTCTATCTTCCCTAGTTAGAATTGTTAGATCTTAGCTACGTCAGTTACTCTCTTCTTTCTTTTGGTCAAGTTGCTGTAATGCTTTTAGTATATTTCTTTCTGCATGCTCTATGTGGGTGACCAATGAGGAGGAAGATACAAGCTACACTGACAAGACTCTCAATAGGATACTTGAGGGGCTGATGGGAAGTATTTAAATGCAGTGTGGTCATCTGACCCTTGATGGACAAGAGACCAGATGAATCCAGTGGGTCAGTGCGCTGGATCCAGAAGCTGGGAACAGAGCACTTGCTAGAGTATACATTTTGGTGAGGGGATCCATCCTGCATCTACCAGGCTAGTAGTGAACAAGTCTAACCAAAAGTTCACATTGAAGGATCTTTAAGAAACAAAACACTAACAGTGCTGACCTTTTGGGTTGCAGCAGATTCAAATGAAAGAAGTTTAATAAAACATCAGGTAAATCATGCAGTGACATATTTTGTGGTTATTCTGGGAAAAAAAACGAATATGAAGCCCATTTTCAAAACTGCCATTTGCAAAGATTAAACATCGTGAAAATTTACTTCGCAAAGAACACACACCACTTTTTAAAAATGTAGCTCAGCTTTATTTTCACAAAATTACTGACAAAAAAATTTTTAAAGCCCAAACCAAGAAAACACTTTTAATTACACTATGAGCGGAAGCGTCATATTTTTTTATGAATTCGATTTTAAAAAGCAACTTTTCAGAAGTCAGTCACAGGCAGATCCTAATCCACTTTTAAGTCTTTTCCCACCAGCATGGCCGTCACGGGATGCATGTTTGCTTTGTGCTGCTGGTAGGTGCAGACGGCTAGATCATGGGATTTGTCAAAGGCAGCGAGATCCCTTAGAAAGAAAGAACAGTCAACATCTCAAATGAAATTCATGAAAGAGGGCAGGGGTGGTAGCCGAGTATTTAACAGCAGTATGACTGTGGAAAAAGTGTGCAGGTGAGATTCGTTGGGGTGTTGCACTTAGGTAGCAGGGAAGTGGGTATAAAAATGAGTGCCGAACAGTGACATAAACTCGGAAGAGTGTTCATTCAGAGTTCACTGTGCACAGCATTAATAATCCTCATCTATATTTGGAGTCATGGTGTTAATGCGCTAGACTGCAGGTTAATGTCCTCGACTGCAAGGTCGGTTTGAATCGCAAAGTCAGCGGTTCAAGCTCACCAGCCACTCCTTGAAAACCCTATACGGGGTGGTTATGAGTTGGAATAACTCAAGGGCACTTAACAGCATATTTGGGGGGCGAGAGAAGGGGAGGGATGCAAATACAGGTAAAGAAAATAAAACCACAGATCCATACAGTATGATACAAAAACGAAAGTATTTTCAGTACCTGAGCTGTCCAGAGCAGTAGCCACTAGCCACATATGGATATTTAATTTTTAATTGATATAAAATAAAAAATTAACTTCCCTTGTCATATTAGCCATATTTTAAGTGGTCAGCAGTCCCAGGTGGCTAGTGGCTACCCCATGGGCAGTGCAGCTAGAGTGCATTTTCACTATTACGAAAAGTTCTGTTGGCAAGTTGGATAGTGCAACGCCAGAGAGATACTCAGGCCCATTCGTCAGATTCGTCTTATTTCCTAAAGAATCAGGAATTCTAGATGATTGGCTCCCTAAATATTACTCATGCTTTATTAACTTTTTATATAATGCTTCTAAAAGAGCTAATAAAACAATCTCACATTTTAAATATTTAGAAACATTACTTCCTATTGAACAATTGCATCTCTAAGCTTTAATAACTTTAAAGATATTTATCATTAAGGTTATCTTTTACAAAAAGTTTAACAACAGCAAAAAAAATCCCGCCCCCCCCCCCCCATATAAGTTCAAAACAGAGCTTGATTTGGGTTCTTACTTAAATAAGGGTCGTGTGAACTTCATTCTTCCCTGTTCAGTTGCCATTTTCAGAGCCAAAGGAATTGCTTCCTCCCACTTCGATTGAATGCAGAGCCTTAACCATCTGAAAGGGAGATTTTTAAAGGGGATAGAGTGGGAAGTGAGGAAGGGGCAGATATGGTAGCATGTTTGAAAAGGACTTGTGTAATGATGAATAATAATCCCATACCAATTATATTGTGTAATAGTTTATATTGCTTTACTCTGTGAATCTCAAATCTTTATATATATAGATGGAATTTTAATTGGAGACAACAAGGAAAGGAGTTTGTTCTTGAAAAAGATCTATGTTTTAAAAGGTTTGGATTATGTAAGTGCTTATGTTTCTTTTAAGTGCAATTTCTGAATGAATTAAACTCTGGTTTAAGCCCAGACATTAAACTTGAATTTAAAAAGATGGGCATAGAGGCTTAAGCAGCACTTTATTCGGCACCACTTGGGGGCAGCTGCAATGCCATTTTGTTGATCAGGAGCAGAGTCTTTCAGAATTACTAGTCCTACACCATACAGCTACAGGAGGATACATTAGCTTAGCAAGCCTTTGAAGAGGCTCCGATAGAAGAACACTTGAATTTGAAGATAGAGACAGGTCTGTTCAGGAGGAAATGGAGGTGAGAGTTTCACAGCTGCTGGCACTAACTGGCAAGAAGATAACAAGTCCCTAGTCCTGGTTCTAATTTAGGTGATGGTGATGACCTCAAACTTGGTTAATTAGTAGCACAGCAGATGTGTTGCTCATCTTTACATATATATTGCTTCTAATTGGCAGACATAATTGATTCCAAGACCAGAAACTGTGATAACTGGAGGTACTACAGTATAATTCTCAACCTTAGACAGTAACAGACACCACAAATTGCCATGGTTTTGTACTATGATTATAATACCTGCATTTCTAATATTTTAAGCATGTAGCCAGTAACAATTTGAAATTTGTTTCTATGCACGTTTACTTTGTTGGCATTATTTTAGTGAGTTGGAACTAATCACTTGTAAAGCCCTTTTTTCTTCATTGTAATTTAAATTTCATGTCATTCAAACATATGCCAAGAAGTTAAAATTTATATCAGAGGGGATTTTCTCCCTAGTCAGTTGCTTTAATTTTTTTCGTACTTTTAGATGTGTTGGTTATACAGTTTCATTTTAGATAAGCATTCCTGAATTTTTTTATTTTGTTTCCCTCATTTCCTTTTTTGTTTCTATAGTCTATGGCATTTTAAAACTGCTAATGTGTTGGCATTATTTACAAGCTAAAACCTAGTAGCACAGAGCTGTCTGCCACAGCCTTCTAACGCAAAGTTTACAGTTGTTAAAGTTGCAGTATCCTTTTAAACACTAGTAACACACACCCTTTGTTTCCTTTTTAAACAAAATCTTTAAATTGGTATTAACTGTAATCTGCACCAGTTCTGTAACCATGAGTTTGGGTGGAGATGGTCTACACAGATGAAAATATTCTACTGAAACACCTAAAGAAGTCACCGGCTGGCTTCTGTTATATTCAGGGATTATTATTATTATTTTTTTAAATCAGTTAGAAAAGAGATACAGGAGCTTCTTCATGTATGTAACAGTATATTAAACTGGAGACAGTGAGGAGTTCGCTACAGAGGTAATATCGTATTAAAACCATGTTTGAGATAGCTGCTTTTATGTGTATTTCATATTGCATGCTTCTGTAAAAACAATGCCAGGCAATGAAAGATTAGTCTTAAAGAGAAAATATTAATTTGTGCAGAGGATGCATTTTCTTCCAGTAATTATTCTGGAAAAAAAAAACATTCACAACTATGCATATGGTATTCTCCAAGACGACTATTCATAGAACCTTTGGAGACAAATTAGTGTAAGAATTTTGAAAAATACGTTCAATATCAAATTAAATGCAACTTTTAAAAAAATGAGACTGGAAAAAGTGCTACATGATTTGGCACCACCGTACAAATATTTTACATGGGTACATTCATTAAATGTTGCTCGTAGCTGAATTTTTACAAAAAATATATTTTAGCATAATAAAATGGCATTGAACTACCCTGGTCAGTTCAGATAAAGAACTAACATCTGAATGAGGTCAGTACATTGAAAAGCTATATTAATATACTTGATGGAAGAGGGAGGTGTGACTTTCATTGTAAACAGGTCTTAAAATTCAGAAACAGATATCCTGTATCTCAGAATGAAAACAGTTGTTATATATTCAAGTTGTGCATGGTAAGGAGTGTGTTTAAATAGCCATAAACAATAACACATCATCACAGGTCATGGTGATCTGTATCTAAGTCCTCTGAATGAATTTGGTTGGTATTTGGTGTTGTGAAGCTCACATGTTTACACACTCAGTGCCCCAATTTCCCCTGAGGAGACCACCTTACAGTGGTGTTTCACAGTTACTTTATCACAGAGTTCTTAGCTCTGATTTCTGCACTTAATTTTTTTTTTTTTAAATAATATGATGATGATACATTTTTCTCTACTGCTTCTAGCTTTTAATGCACCAGTAAATAAGATCAAATGCTATGAAATGTCTATGTTGCCATCTTTCTGTAAATATGGAATTTCTCTTGTCATTTAGCACTGCTTCTTTGTGTTATGCTGGCATTAAGGTCATGAGCCCTTCCCCTCCAATAGTGCAGGCTTTATTAAGTTATTTGATGCAATTTGATATTTTTCATAATCTCTATTTAAATGAAATGACATCATTGCATCATCTTTTCTAAATTCATTTCCATTAAAACGTTCCTTAAGCTGCCGGATTGCTTTTGTCATCATTAGCCATGATGTACTGTGTGTTGCCTGTTTAATTTACTTTCACAATAAACTTCTGTGTAGTGAAAAAAAAAGATGGGCATAGAGCAAAACCAAAGATTTTTCATTATTTCAACTCATGAATAGATTCAGTTAGTTGTGGAAAAATGTCTATTTATCAGCAAATGTCTAATTCTAGTTTTATTAAGGCAGGAGAGGTTCAGAACAAACTCTCACACAAAGATAAACACTAGTATCTTAACAGACATTCCACATATTCCTTAAATCCAATGCTAACTCCTTGTATAGATGCAATCAATGATTTGACAAGCATTTCCCAAGCCTCACATGTCTCACACTCTGCTTCCCTTTTTACACTAGTTTTCTGCTCTCTTCCATAAAGACAAGTGAAAATGATGTACCTGAATCGTATTTCAGAATTGTTCACGGCATTCAAGTTGTACACCTCTTGCATGCGCTTTATGTGGCCCAACGGAAGAGGTGCCTACAGGCAAAATAAAGAAGAATAAAGTATCATTTCAACAGGAGTTCTTGAAAGAAAGGAGCTGGAAAGAAAGGTTAGCCAGATTAAAATCCTACACCTTTTATAATATGGAAATATATTGGATGAAAATAAAAGAAACAAATGCACATTGAAGGAAATTTTGTGCAAATGTTCTGGAGAAGGGTGTTCTACTAAAAGCAAAGGGATAATGAGATACTCAGAGAATTAACAGGAGCCCTGGTGCTGTAGTGGGTTAAGTGCTGGGTTGCTAACCACAAGATTGGTTGTTTCAACCCACAAGTCATTTTGCAGGAGCTAGATGAGGCTGTCTGCTCTTGAAAAAGATTCACAGCCTTGGAGACCTTCTCTGCTCTGTCTTGTAGGGTCACTATGCGTTGAAATTAACTTGATGACTGTGCACTTAGAGAATGAAATGAGAATAGTGTGTTTATTGGAGTCCTGGTGTGGTGCTGTGGGTTCATACGCCAGACTGCAAAGCCATTTGAACTGCAATGTCGGCGGTTCAAGCTCACCAGTTACTCCTCAGAAACCCTATACAGGGTCATTATGGGTCAGAACTGACTCGACGGCACTTCACAACAACACAATTGTGTTTATTATACTTCTTGGACTTTTCAGTACAGAACAATATTAACTTTTAGATACTTTCCAGTTTTTCAAGTTCTCCTTTATACTTCTTGAAGCTTATCTGTATTTCCATTCTCCAGATTAAGTCACAGTTCCTTCATTTTTTTCCTCATGGATTCTCCCCGTTTTCATCTTTGTATGGTGGTTGGTGGTTAGGTGCCATGGAGTCGTTCAGACTCATAGTGACCCTGTACAGGGTTTCCAAGGCTGTAAAGCTTTACTGAAGCAGAAAATCTCATCTTTCTCTTGCGGAGTGGCTGGTGGATTTGAACTGCTAACCTCGTGGGTGAGCAGCCCGACATGTAACTCTCTGAAATCTCTTTTAAATGATCTACACAGGTACATAAAGCACCTCTTAAAGTTGTGCATTACAGAAAAAGCTGGCTATGCCAGGTGTTTGAAAAGGACTGCAATGATAAAGAATCACAGAATAACGATACTGCATACCAGTTTATACTATACTTTTACTACGAGAATCAACGCAAAATGAGGAAAGCGATTCTAAGGCAACAGGGGCCTAGTGAAAGTGAGAGAGGATCCACATTTAGTGAATCAGATCTGCACAGTGTGCGAACCTAATGGATAATATAGACCTTTTTCTTTAGAAAAATACATTTACACATAAATACAAACATCTATATACAATTTCAAGGAGCTCTGGTAGCGTACTGGTTATGAATTGGGCTGCTAACTTCCAGGTCAGCAGTTCGAAACTACCAGCTGTTCTGTGGGAGAAAGACGAGGCTTTCTGCTCCCTTAAAGATTTACAGCCTCGGAAACCCTGTACAGGGTCGCTATGAGTCAGAACTGACTCCATGGCACCACACCACCACCGCTATGTACAATTTCAGGAGGTTCCCAAGTGTTCTGAGCCTACCTTAACCCATGCTAAACTGGAGAACAAGTTTGAGTGAAGAAAAGAAAGATGGTGAGTTCAGTGTGAATCATGTAGAGTCTGTGACATGCACGTACAGGTGCCATGAGGGCTATGCCAACATTCCACTCCATCCACGACCTCCTTACTGTACAACACACTAGCTCCACACTAACCAACCATCTCTGTTTTCAATAACTGCTTCCTCAATGATTTAGTCGCTAAGTCTCCTATGGGTACACTCAACTCCAAGTCCAGCTTGGTAGGGCAGCTAGTTATGGCCAGCTCCTGGGTTTCTCAAATTTCCCCAGTTTTTGCCAGTCTCATTCTCAAATCATCCTCATTGAGTTTTCTCTCTTCCTGCTCTCAGGCCACAAGGCAGTGCTACAGAAAGTAAATTCTGAGGACTGGCATCACTAACTACGGGTCCTCCCTTATTTCAGGTAGAGTCCTCTTGCCTTTAAATCCTCTTCCTTGTTTTACATCAATTCTGTAGGAAATTCTGTTCCAAATATTCTCCATCCCTCTCAAGTTTTGATATCCTGTAAGTAGTGTAATACTTAAAGACTTAGTCATTCTTTCCCTCTCAAAATGCAGCTTCTCCTTCCAGCTTCACATATTATTTCAATTGGCTGGAACTGAAACTGTAAAATCCACTAGGGTTCTTTTTCATTAACCCCCAAATCCAGTCAGTTACACAAAGCTGAGCTTTCATCTTGTATAATCATCTAACTGGCTTGCCCCGCCCACCAGCTCATTGCCTCAGATTCCCATACTCCTAATAACTGTTTTTCTCAACTGGTCTCTAAAATTTGTCCCAAAAAACCCAAACCCATTGCCACTGAGTCAATACCAACTCACAGTGGCCCTACTGGGTAAAATGGAACCGCCCTATGGGATTCTCCTGGGCTGTGTCTACCTTTTTTTACAGTGGCAGACTGCCACATCTTTCTGTCAAGGAGTGGTTGGTGGGTTTCAACCTCCAACCTTTTGGTTAACAGCCAAATGCTAAATCACTGCACCACCAGATTTGCATCTAAAAATGCTGTTGCTGCTGTTAAGTGCTGTTGAGTCAGTTCCAACTCACAGCGACCCTGTAAAGGGTTTCCCAGGAGCAGCTGGTGGGTTTCAATCGCCAACCTTGTGGTTCGCAGTCCAGTGCTTATCCTACAGTGTCACACCAGAACTCCAATTTGTGATAAAAGCAGGTATATTTTTATTTTTAGGACTCCTGGTGTGGAATTGAATCAAAAAGTTGGTTTGAACCGCAAGATCGGTGGTTCAAACTCAGAAGCTACTTCTCAGAAACCCTATTCAGGGTTGCTATGAGTCAGAAACAACCCGACGGCACTTAACAACATCTTTCCTACTAGATTATAAGTTTCTTGATTACAAGGTCTATTTTTACCTATTTTTGTATTCAGAACAATAATAGTAAACATAGTAGGAAGAGTAAGAATGTAACACATATTTTTAAACACTTTTAGTGTTTAATTCAGTTTTTCTCCATTAGTTTTGTTCAAGTTGGATTTGATGTCAGTGCTATTCCTTTAGGCCCAGTTATTAGATCTCTACAGCTCTGACCTGGTACTTACTTTCTGGAGCACCAGTGCCAGAAACTCACTCAACTGATGTGAAGAGAGATCTGTCAGGTCTGCGGCGCTGAAAGAATTTAAATCATCTTCTTTGGCCTAAAATACATGTTACTTGGTTATTTTCACTCTTGTACAATTCAGTAATATTCATTGGTTTATCTGACATAGAATATATAAAAATCAAGAAATATATAGCCACAGTTGCAAAAAAAGTAAATATCCTTAGCTATCTAAATAATCCTGGGATTATTTAAATTATGACTGTAATTTAAAGAGCTAAAATCTCTACTACATAAGAAAAGTTAGACTATTAATAGTAAAGCTAGAAGAAACTTTCGACCACCTTTCTACCACTCAAGGTATATAGATTTTCAAAGTAAAGAAAACATTTTTAAAAGCATGTCAACTAACATGAGGGAGCTTCAAAACGTTTGTGGAAAAATTAAATTCAATGATAATGAAATTTTTCACAAACTTTTTGAACTCCTCTTGTATATGTTAATTAAAAATTGTGAATAAAGGCTCAAATAGCATATTTGTGGTATTATCACACTAATAAATTGATAAGACCACAAATTGATGCTTCCTCCAGACACACACATCTTATTTTCCCTAATTAGCTTTGGAAATCATCTAAAAAAAAGAAAAGTGGGTCTGTGCTTTTCGAAATCAGTATTCACAGACATTGATATTTGGGGATAGGAACATGAAATGCTATATAAAGTTTGCTAAAGTAAACATTTAAAAATTAGTTGAATGGTTTTTAAAACTGGCTTTTAAAATTTTTATAGAGGTATATGCAATTGTTAAAAAAACTAAATAGGACAGAATGAAAAATTCTTTTGTTTTTGTTCCATCTCCATTCCTAGTCCATAGTAACCAATATTAGTATTTCCTTGTACGTCTTTACAAAGGAGCTCTGGTGATACAATGGTAAGTGTTCACCTGCTAACCAAAAGGTTGGCAGTTCAAATTCATCTAGTGGCTCTGCAAGAAAAAGACCTTGTGATCTATTAGATGGCACTGAGTCGGATCCTACTCATTGTGACCCATGTACAACAAGATGAAACACTGCCCTGTGCCATCCTCACAACCATTGTTATGCTTGTGTTCACTGTTACAGCCACTGTTTCCATTCATCTCGATTATAAAGACTGTTGTTGTTAAGTGCCATTCAGTCAGTTCTGACTCAGAGAGAGCGACCTTGTATAGGTTTTCCGAGGAGCAGCTGGTGGGTTTGAACATATCCCACCTGATTCAGAGATCATACCAAGAACAGACTTGATCTATTAGACACTACTGACTGAAGACCAGCAGAGCCGTAGGATGACATCAAGAACATCATAGAGGAAGAAAGCAAAAGGTCATCAAAAAGACAAGATAGAAATAAAGAGACTAAAATGAAAGTCAGAAGAAACTCTGAAACTTGCTCTCCAGCACAGAGATGCTAAAATGAGTGGAAGAAATGAGGAAGTAAAAGAACTGAACAGAAAATTTCAAACAGCGGCTCAAAAAAACAAAGTATTATAATGAAATGTGCAAAGACCTAAAGTTAGAAAACAAAAAGGGAAGACCACAGTCAGCATTTCTTAAGCTGAAAGAACTAAAGAAAAAATTCAAGCTTTCATTTGAAATCTTGAAGGACTTTATGGGCAAAATACTGAATAATAGAGAAAGTATCTAAAGAAGAAGGAAAGTATGCACAGAGTCACTGTACCAAAAAGAAATGGTTGATGTTCAATCATTTCAAGAGGTAGCATATGATTAAGAGCTGATGGTACCAAAGGAAGAACTCCAAGGTGCACTGAAGGCATTGGCAAAAACAAGGCTACAGGAATTGATTGAGGACAAATTGAAATCTTTCAACAAACTGATACAGCACTGAAGGCACTTACTCATCTGTGCCAAGAAATCTGGAAGACAACTACCTGGCCAACTGATTGTAAGAGATTCATATTTGTGCCCATTCCAAAGAGAGGTAACCCAACGGAATGTGGAAATCATCAAACAATATCACTAATATCACATGCAAATATAATTTTCCTAAAAATAATTTAAAAATGGCTGCAACAGTACATCGACAGGGAACTACCAGAAACTCAAGCTGGATTGAGAAAAGGACATGGAATGAAGGATATCATTATTGACGTCAGATAGATATTGGCTGAAGGTAGAGAATACCAGAAAGATGTGTACCTGTAGTTTATTAACTATGTAAAGACTTTCAACTGTGTTGCTCATGACAAGCTATGGATAACATTATGAAGAATGGGTATTCCAGAACACTATATTGTGTTTGTAAGGAATCTATACATAGCCCAAGAGGCAGTAGTTCGAACAGAACACAGGGCTAATTTAAGATCAGGAAAGGTGTGTGCCAGGTCTGCATTCTGCCACCATTGAATACTCTTATTCAATCTGCATAAGAAACTGGATTATATGAAGAAGAGGGAGGCATCAGGATTGGAGGAAGACTCATTAAGAACCTGCCATATGCCAATAATATAGCCTTATTGCTGATAGCAACGAGGCCCTAAAATACTTGCTGATGAAGATTGAAGGATTGCACCTCAATGTAAAGAAAACAAAAATCCTCACCACTGGAGCAATCATGATAAATGGAGAAAAGACTGAAGTTGTCAAAGACTTCATTTCACCTGGACCCACCATCCTGTGACTTGTTTGGCCAGGGCTGCGGCTCTGCTGCTACCCAGGAGAGGCAGCATGGGCTCCAGATTGCTGGCAGCAGGTGGTGGAGTTACCCTGAGGCTCCCTAGGGGAAGAAGTTGCCTGAGGGAGTCAGATGGGCCTCAGGATGCTGCACCACGTTTGCAAGGGGAGTGGTACCTGGAGCTTTTCTCACTTGGATCCTAGCAGAGTCCTTCCCAGCCCCCTGCTCCAGCTGCCCAGGGCAGCTTTGGTAGCCAGCATTTTGCCATTGTTAGGTTCAGTGTGTCCTTGCCTGCCGATATCAATCTGCAAGGAAGTTGCATGAAAGCCTCATGTTCATCGAGTGGAGACAAAACCTGAGAGTCAAGTTTACAGATGACCATGTCTGTAAGAGTCACCTTCTGGACTGCTGCTCCCATGACATCCTTGATTCAGGAGAATGTACCAAATCCACGACTTAGCCCTCTGAGCAGATTGTGAGATTGCAAATAAAGAAAAGGATCTTTCCTCTTAATTAGATGCGATGGATCACCTGGAGTCCTTCATTGCCAAAAGTGACTGCAGAATGGAACTCCCCAAGAAGTGGTTGGCAGAGACAAGACACAGGAGGGGATCAGCGGAGGTCTTGGCCAAGACAAAGAAAGTACATGAATGGACAATGAATAAGGAAGACTACAAAAGAATTGATTCATTTGAATTATAGTGTGGGAAGAGAATATTAAAAGTGCTATGGGCTGCCAGAAGAATAAACAAATCTGTGCGGGAAGAAGTAGTCAGAATGCTCCTTGGAAGAAATGATGGCTAGACTTCATCTTTCATACTTTGGACCTATTGTCAGAAGGGTCTAGCCCCTGGAGAAGGACATCATGTTTGATACAGTGGAGGGTCAGAGAAAAAGAGGAAGACTCTCAATGAGATGGACTGACACAGTGGCAGCAGCAGTGGGTTCAAGCCTAACAATTGTGAGGATGGTGAAGGACCAGGCAGTGTTTTGTTCTGTTGTTGTGCACAGCGTTTTTATGAGTCAGAACTGACTGGGATGGCACCTAACAACAACAACATCTGAAGTTTATACCTTAAAGTAAAGAAAACAAAACTGTTCACAACTGAACCAATAAATAACATTATAAACAGGGAAAAGATTGAAGTTGTCAAAGATATCATTTTGATTGAATCCACAATCAACACTTATGGAAGCAGCAATCAAGATATCAAATGACATATTGTATTAGACAAATCTGCTGTACAAGACTTCTTTAAAGTGTTCAAGAGCAAAGATGTCAGTTTGAGGACAAAGGTGTGTCTGACCCAAGCCATGGTATTTTCAGTCACCTCATATGCATGTGAACATTGTACAATGAATAAGGAAGACCAGAGAAGAATCAATGCATGTGAATTACAGTGTTGGTGAAGAAAATTTTAAAAAGTAAGGTAAAATGCAAATGTTTCTGCATTACTTTTTGAGCTGAAAAGGAGCAAGAAAAATCAGAGCTACTGATACTGATATCAATTTTCACTCCATGGAACTTAATTTTTATACATTGTGGGTTTGTAGAGAATCACCTTAGAAACGTTAAAAACATGACATAAAAATAATCTTTGCAAATAACTCTTCATGAATGAGATCCACTGTCCCCCATCTTCATGAGTACAGACATATTTGTATTATTCAAAAAGGAGAACAAAAAAACACACATCACTACTCACAGTAATCCATCTTTGACTTAAGGTAATGCAAGCATTTGTCAGAGTCATATCATAACTGCATAGACAAAAAATATATATATATATATCAAGAATTCATTTTTATAAAAATACACATTTCCCCTGAATGGAATTTTTAAATTGTAGGACATATTTAAATTTTAAAGTAAGGAATTCTAAATGATGGAAATAAGAAATAAATCTTCCTTGACTTAATTATGAGCAATAAATTGAACTAAGTTATATTTATAATATTATACCATGGAAACTATTCTTTTGGCCTCAGGGTTAAGGTACAAACACCTAAGAACTCTATTCTAATCATTAACTAGTAATAGATTAAGTAAGTAAGGCATACGATCCTCTGAGATATCTTGAGGCGCTCCAAGGTGCAACCACTAGTTGAAAGGTTGGTGGTTCAAGTCTACCCAGGAGCAGCTTGGAAGAAAGACCTGTGGATCGGCTTCTGAAAACTCCATATAGTGCAGTTCGACTCTGCACATATGAGCTGCCATGAGTCAAAATCAATGAGATGTTAACTAAAAGCCACAGGACTTAAGAGACCAAGAAGGTAAGTATTTACTTGGGTTTTACAGGAGGCACGCCAGGAGCATGCAGCCACGCATTCCAATCAACTTGATTGAGAATATCAACCTGTGAACAGTCAGAAAAATACCAGCTTGCCACAGAACCAATCTTTCTGGCCGAGGAGGTAAAAAGAAAAATCTAAAGCATGCTTTCAAGTTCTCAAATCAACAATTTTGTCAACATTAGCATGTCAAGAAAATTTCTAAGTTCAAAAATAAATGAAATGCATAATAAGTGAACAAATTATAGCAAATTTGTATGGGTTACTTATTAAATAATTAAAATAGTAAAATTAAGTATACACAGAAAATGAAATACTAAAACATACTATTAAGGATTGCTTCAAAATAGTATAATTCTACACCTTAGTTCATGATGTTGACGTCACTTTTCAAACAGGAAAAAAATATAATGAGATTGAGCCTTAAAAGAAATATTATACTAATACCACTGTTAAGTATTTCAATTCAGCATAATGAATAGTCAATAAGTACAGCTGTATGGACAGGAAAATAAGAAAGCTTTTAAAACCTAACCTTGTCTTTGAAGTGGTCATAGAGAAAGTCCTTCCAGTCATCAGTGGTTATGCTCTTGTAAGAAAACTTCTTAACATAGGCCTTTAAAAATCCTAGGAAAATCTCTAAAAGTACATATAAAAAAAACAATTAATGGAAAGGTAACTACCTAGCATTTTTATGCTTGGCATTGTGCTATTAACCACAGAGAACAAAGAACACTCAAAAAATAGGGAAACAACTCAAGGCTTTAAGAGTAAAGACTATTCGAAAAAGGAGGTAGGACTTAAGCTGGGCCAAAGAATATATGTAATTTAGTGGAAGGAAGAAGCGAAATCCTAATTAATCCAGTTTAGGGGGACAACACAAATGAAGACACAGCAGAGGAATGAACAACCTAAGTTCTAAAAACGATGATCCTAGCCTGACTGGCTGGCTTGCTGGCAGGCTGTGTGCCATCCAGTCGGTTCTGACTCATAGCAACCCTGTATGGGATTTCTGAGGTTGTAAATTTTTACGGAACCAGCAAACCTCATCTTTATCCTGAGGAGTGCCTGACAGACTCAAACTGCTGACCATGTGTTTAGCAACCCAATGTGTACCTTGTACCACCAGGGTTCCTTCTAACATGACTGGTGGTGGTGGTAGTGTATGTACCAATAAGTCAGTTCTGATTCAGAGTGACCCTGTATAGGGTTTTTGAGACTGTAAATCTTTATGGGAGTAGAAAGTCTCATCTTTCTCCCATGGAGCTGCTGGTGGATTCAAACTGCTGACCTTGTGGTTAGCAGCCCAGCACATAACCCAGCACAGAACCAGGACTCCTTTGTAGCATAACTAAAAAGTCAAACAGTGAGATCAGAGAGGAGGAATGGGCCCAGCTCGTGGAAGGCCTTCAAAGTCAAACAACCAAGGAGAATAACTCAAGGCTCATCACTAGGGACAGGTTACACCAATTCAGCACACGTATTTGTTGTTGTTGAGGGCCGTCAAGTCGGTTCTGACTCATAGTGACCCTGTATAGGGTTTCCACGGCTTTAAATCTTTGCCCTGCAGTGCACATATTGGTATAATGAAATACTACGATGACATTTAAAAATATGAGCTAGATCTCATGTATTGACATGAAAGGATGTATATGCAATATTGTTGAGTAACAGCATAAAATACAGAGCACATATAGTTCTGTTTTTGTAATTAAAATATGACCTACACATATTTATTTGTCTGCTAGTTTAGTTATATTTAGAAAAGATCTGGAGCCACACACCAAACTGCTGACAGTGGTTTTTCTTGTTGTTGTTAGGTGCCATTGAGTCAGTAACGTCCCATAGCGACCTTATGCACAGCAGAACAAAACACTGCCCGATCTTGGGCTAACCTTACTACTGTTGCCACACTTGAGTCCATCGATGATGACATTGGTTACTCATGGGGAATCGAAAAGGCTGAGGGTGTCTCATTTGTTACTAATGAACTTCTATGCCATACACATTTTTTTAGCAAGCATGGGCTGCTTTTTTGATTTTCCAAATGTGGATGAGATTTTAAAAAGTCAAAGATTTCAATTTAGAACTCAGGTTCCACTCAAGGTTTTATGTAAAGAAGGTAACATTAGAAAACAAAACACACTTCTTTGACAGCCATGTATAGAATGAAATAAAAATTTTAAAGCAACAGGTTAAAATCCTTCCTTATTCTTTATATTACTCTCAAAAAGAAGAAGATGAAAAAAAAAAAAGAAAGAAAGAAAAATGTCAATGACTTGCCTGGTCCTCCAAGAAGTTGTTCGAGGTAAAAGAGTAAAGCAAAACCCTTCTCATAGGGAACTGAAGAATATGCCACATCAGGGTCTACAGCCTTGAGATCGACCACAAGCTTGGTGAAAGGATGTGTATCCCCCAAATTCTTTATCTGCAAGACACAGAAATGGATGCATGAAGACAGGTATCACTATGCAAACAAGTTAAGAGGATTATATAACTTCACTCAGGCGATTAACTTTCTTGGGAATCTACACCTGGAACAGATTTAAGTGACTGGAAATAGAAGGATATATTGGCATAAATATCTGGAAGTCTATTAATGGAATGTTGTTGTTGTTAAGTGCCATCGAGTTGATTTTGACTCATAATGAGCCTGTATAGGGTTTCTGACGAGCAACAGGTGGGTTTGAACTTCTGATCTTGTGGCTAGCAGTACTTATCTGACAGTAGCACACCAGGACTCCATTAATGGAATGGCTACTTGTTATATAAGGCTACCTGTATAATGTTCCGTGTTCTTTCTTGCCTAATTAAAGGCAGTGATATTAGCAACAAAAAGCCCTAAGTGGTCCTGAAGCTCTCAATTCAGACAACGGTTGCTCCCTACACAAGAATAATAAATGGCATTACTGATTGAGTAACCCACTGACACCAGCATCCGCTTCAGTTTCCATATCTATAAAAATGACTTTCGTGTTGCCACTATGTAAAGGCGCTTTACAAGCTAAATTTTTGATACCTATAACCTTTGGATAAATGTTTCTAAAAATCAGACTCATTTACCGTATTCTGTAGTTCTCCCCATCCTCCCAGAGCATGAAAATGTCTAAACTTTTCCCCAAACAATCGTCCACAAATATGGCGTTCCAAGTACACAGTATGTCCTTCATTTAACCTGAAAAACAAAACAAAAAAAACCCCACTGTCATAACTGAGAGGAAACAGCATTTGAATCAGTTAGGTATTTTCTTGGGGATTTTTCTACAAATTAAAACAACTGTAAAGCATGAACACTACTCATAAATACCATGAGTTTCACCCAGAGCTAGTTCAGAACAATGGGAAGCTGCACAGCAGATGGCAGCAGGGAAAATTAGATCATAGTTCTGGTTTTATGTCTCTATGCATTACTATGTGCCTGCATCAGAAACAAATTAACAAGCATAACTTGAACAGCTACAGTGATTCTAACACTTTAACAACTATGCCAGCATTGAAACACAAAATCTGTCCACCTTGATGATAACACAGAATAAGAAGATATATACAATTAGGAGTGGTGGGTGGTGGGCGACATGAAAAGAAAGCATTAACAAGAAATGAAAACCTTACCAAAAGTGATCCCAAGTTTTGTTAGTCACCAGATTTCCTGTCCAGCTGTGAGATATTTCATGTGCAATAACCTTAGGAAAAAATGAAAGTGATGAGAGGGAAGTTTTAGTACCTTACTTAAACGTATCTGTTTTTCAGGTACTTGAATTCTTTCAACTCCACTATAATTCCATTAAAAAAAAAAAAATTAGCTAAGACATTCAAGGGTTACTCAGTTTAGTCAAAAGAAATACAAATAAATAAAGAACTAAAATTTGTTAAGTGCCATCATTAAAATTTAGACAAAGATAAAAATGTGTGGCTTCATTAAAATCATTAAAAACAAAATTACTATGGAAATACTAAACTAAATGAATATATAACTTCATTAGAAAATATTTCATAAACATATGAAAAGATTGAACCATACATTTAAAAGAAACCTGTTAGATCTAATTGCTAATGTGGTAATACCTTACAACAAGGATTCCCAAACGATTTCTTTTAACCACATCTTCAATGTAACAATGCAATGAATATTTAAAAATCAGATGATTTCACACTTCTTGAGAGTAAAACTATCATAAGAAACATTAACTTACATTGGAGAGTGACTTGTCACCTGCCTAAAACAACAAAAAAAAAGAAATTTACCTTAGTATTTCATTAATTAAATGATAAACTTTATCTAAAAAACCACCTACTTCAATATCTAGTAATCTAGCATTAAAGACCCACTGTGCTTTTATAATTCAAAGAGGCATATAGTCAGAAAACACACAAATAAGCAAAAAACACAGGATGCAAAAAACAGCATAATTCTCTCATTAACCCTAGGGAATTTTTCCAATACCAGGTTCTTGTTGTTAAGTGCCTTTGAGTCAGTTCTAACTCATAGTGACTCTGTATAGGGTTTCTGAGGCTGTAAATCTTTAAGGGAGCATAAAGCTGGTAGAAGCAACCTGCTGACCTTGTGGTTAGCAGCCTAACCAGAGCTCCTTCACCTGGTTCTAGCATGTATTTAAAATAGTTTGCAAGGGCATATAAGATACAGCCACTTAATGTGGGAGTGCAGTGGCTCCATAGGATAAGCACTGGACTACAAATATCAAAGTCTGCGGTTTGAGCCCATTAGCCACTCTGTGGGAGAAAGATGAGGCTTTCTCCTCTCACAAAGATTTAAAGCCTCAAAAATCCTACATGAATCAGAACCAACTCCACGGAACTTAACAATAACAACAATATTTTGACCTAATCCTTAGGCAAACTGAGTTTTTTTCACCAGTACCTACATAGCAAATGTAGGAGTCCTGGTTTGGCTCTGTAGGATAAACACTAATCTGCTAACTGCAAGGTTGGAAGTTCAAACTCACCAGCTGCTCCTTGGAAATTCTATACAGGGTCACTGTGAGTCAGAACCAACTAGGTGGCACTTACCAGCAACTTAACTTAACCCTGAGTGGTGCAAGTGGCTAACAGTTTTGGCTGCTAACCAAAAAAGTTGGAGGTTCTAAAAAATCAGCCACTGAGAACCTCAGGGAATGCAGTTCTACTCTAACACACAGGAAGTTGCCTGCTATGAGTCAGAATTGACCCAGAACCGGAAACTGGTATATGAGTGTGAATGGTATAGTTTCTTTATCTGGAAACACAATCCATTAATGATGGCTTGTTATATAGCATACTCCCTTTCCCAAGTTCTCCAACTTCTGAAGCACAATATTCTCTTCCCACAAATGGCCAGTTTTCTTTGAAAGATGAGATGATGATATAACCACAATAAGCGATAAAATTAAACCAAGGGTATAAGGTGAGAGATACTATCAGGAGTAAATGGCTCTTCAGGCCTAGATCTATTTCTGAGAAGCCATGATTCAAATGAAAAAATGTTTATACTTACCAGGAGTGTAGGAGTTGCAAAAGTAAGGCAAGGATTCTCCATGCCACCGTAGGGGAAGGAGGGTGGCAGGACCAATAGGTCATACTGCCCCCATACATACGGTCCTCCCAGATCTTCTGCAATTTGAAGCATGGATTCAGTCTGAAAAATGAAGGCATGTCTTAATTACTACCATAAAAAATGTCTTAGAAGCCTCTGTGGTTTTCTATGAAGTTTATGAATTAATGATGCATATTTTAAACAAAAATGATAGGATCTAGCAACTGAAAATTCATGTATAATAAGATTTGATTCTTCTGCTACATCAAGTAAACTGATTTCATATCACACTCGAAATCTTAAACCTATTGTCTACCACAATTATTAAAAAGGGTAACGGTGTAACAAACCTCAGAAAATTCGTAAGCCGACTTTTCCACCTGTTCTTTCTCAGACCATACCAATGTTCTTGGGCCAAGCTGCCTACAAAATTAGAAAGTGTAATGAAACAGAAAGTCAAGGCAAATTACTCGCTTGGTTCTAGGGAGGATATAAGTGCTCGCAGAAGAAGTGTAATCTACCAGGTGCTTATGGGGAAGGGCTGAGGGCAATGGCTTTATACACGCCTGCTGTTTTAAACGCCTGGATAGATAGCAGCTCTAAATGGGGAAAGAGTCTGGGTCAAAGGAAAACAAAGACATAGATTGTCCCCAAGGTCAGTTTACTAGTTAAGACCTCTAGGCATCTAGTTTTCTCCCTCAATCTTACCACTGTAGAAATCTTGCCACAGAAGAAACAAACAGAACTCTATCTATCTTGTATGGCGCTGTTGTCTGTTGCCACCAGGTCAATTCTGATTCATGGTAACCCCATGTGTGCAGAAGAGAACTGCTCCATCGTACTAGGTAATTAGATCAGGGAAAGAAGGGGGTCTCAGGTCATTCTAGGTGTGGCTTGTCTCAGCAAGAAACAAGCCAGCCTCAGCAGTGAGGAGTCAGAGAAGGTGGGGTGGGAGAGAGAAGAAACAGTTTTCAAGAGTAAATAAATATAGTTAAGAGGAGTAGGTGAGACGGGAAACTATTGGAAGAAGAAAGTTACTTCATAAGCTGAACCCTGAATGACAAATGTCAAGGAAACTGTACATAGACCATTTCCCTGTATAGGTTACTGGGCACTCAAACCAGGAAGACAATCCACTTCCCTGACAAAGGGCTATACAAAGAAGAAGCCAAATTGTACGGGGCTCCACCTCCTCTTCTCTCACAAGGTGGAAGCCCACTCTTACCTCTCTCTGTAAAAATGCCTATACTTATAACAAACCTGTCTTTCACTTCCCTTAGCCTCTTGTCTTTCTAACTTCTTTTGCATGGATGAAGTGTGTTACGCCTTCCTAATTCTTTGGAAGGACAGTAACACTGTTCTAGGGATAACAATTCAACCAGGACAATAGAGTTTCCAAGGATATGATGGTTCAGAAGCAGCTCACCAAGGCTCTCTTCCAGGGTACTTCTAGCTGAGTTCGAATCCCCAAAATTTGGACTCTTAGTCGAGAGTTATTTGTGCCATCCATGCACCTTGTATGGTATTACAACTCATCTAAACTTCACTTTAAAACAATTTATACAAGAGGGCTTTGTGTTGGTATCCTGCATAGAAGGGCAATGATCTCAGAAGCAGAACTTCTGTAAATTTAATGGGCATACACATTATTTGGGTGACTTGTTCAAATGCAAATTGTAATCTAATATGATTAAAATAGTATCATTTTATCATGTCAACATAAAAAGTATTAATGAAGCAGTTCATATTTTATTCATTCATACTAAGTCTTAGAAATTTGGTGCATATTTTACACTTAATAGCACAACACAACGTCAAGTGCTCCATAGCATCATGTGGTTGTCTATTCTGCATGGATTCTGAACTCAGATGGTGTCAGTTTAGGGCTTTGCCACTTCCTAGCTGTGTGACTCTGGGAAAGCCAGTCAATCTCATGGAGCATCAGTTTCTTCACTGATAAAACAGGAAAAACTACTACTATCTACGCTGCAGGGCTGTTATGGGGATTCAGTAAGATAATGCATTGGACTTGGCATAAATAAGAACGCAATGCTGTCAGCTGCTGTTGGTAATTATACTGGTTAAATACCTAGAGTATTTCCTCTAGGCTAGAACCTAAACTAGGAGCTTTATTTAGATAAGCTAGGTCTGTTAATCCTCACACAAATCCTTTGAAATACATATTATTATTGTTGTTTCTCAGGTGAAGAAAAATAAAACTCAAAGAGGATGTAGCTAGGAAGGGCTGGAGCTGGAATCGGAATCTCTGTTTGCCTAATTTCTCTCCAACCTCTACATTTCTGGCAATTTAAAGAATGTGATCACTGGTGACATTCTTAATTTTCAGCCATTTAGAAAAGAAAACAAATAGAAAAATGGAAAAGGAGGGGAACTCTAGCTATTGGTAAAACTTTGAGAAAATATGTTATATTTCTATAATATGTATAGGGTTGAAAATGCTCCACTATGTTTTACGTTGTCTGTCTGTGAGTCAAGGCACAAACAGTGATAACTTTGAGGACGAAGAGATGGAGATTTCCACAAGTGATTTGTTTAAATTCACTTTAGAATCCCAATCTCTAACTCATTCTGCAGTAATGGGAAAATTGAAGGGGTAATTGGTAACGACTTTTAAGTTTAAATTTTGTTTACATTTTATAATTAAATTTGACTTTTTCTGGAGCTGCTACCTAATATCTTGAGGACTACCCACATGAGATGCCCAAGGGCTCACCTGCTTTCTAGAGCTCCAACAACTAAAGCAATCAAGTAGGAAGGTATCGGAACCTAGAGGAGATAAACACACACATACCACAAGCTTACATTAGTGTCCCAAAAGGTTAAAGTACAACAGTTCATTTTTTAAATTGAGTAATTTCTTTTTCAAGTCTCCAAACCATGATATGTTTTGTTCTTCTCAAATATGTTCAAAATGACAATGTAAAACATTTCAGAACATTCATTTCCTTTTTATTCCCCCAGAAAGGGAAATCCCAACAAATGGAAAATACTGCACATAGTTTTACAAGGTACATTTAAGCATTTCTCACAAATTAACCTATAGGAAGGCAACTGTGTTTTTCTCACTAGACTTTGAAACACTACCTACCGATACAGAGGCACACAAAATAACCCAGCAATAAGTGGAGGCCTGGAATTAACTTTTCTGAGTTTTAAGAAGCTGGGGTGGGAGCAAAATTGCCCATTGTACTTCACTTATGTGTTCTGTTAAGTTGGGTTAAAAACATACAAACACTGCTACACACACACACATGTTCAAAGTAAAGATACAAGTCAAATTACCATCTACATAGGAAACTAACTGCGACTGTGGCACTTTTATTGCTGTAAGGTAGCTCTTTCACTGGCAAATTCTAAACAGTCCCTTTCCTGCAAGCCTAGGCAGGTGAAGGGGCAACTTAACAGAACAGGCAGCCTGCTACAGACGAGTGAGCAGAAGATGGTATCAGCACTCACTCCTTAGCCTCTCTCTACAATGCAACTTTCTCTGTAAGCAGAAAACCATCTTTTAAATGCATAAAAGAGAAAAGAACAAAGGGGAAGAAAAAGCTACTTTTATTTAAACTCTGAACTATTTCAAAAGCACTTTTGCTCTTAGGATGGATATAAGCACTCATCGTTCACCACCAATGAAAACAGAAGCGTACTCTTTTGTTTTTGAAAATAAAAAGCTTACTTTTTGGCTGAATCTATAGAGTTTCCTGCTGGGGTCTTCTGGGTCAGGAGCTTCTCCATCACGAAGAGCACTCATAAGTGCCACCAGCTCCTTAGGGACAGACACCTAATTGAGAAGAAAAGCAATTTCCAGTTACAACTAGAAGCGCACATGTGAGATATCTAAATAATACACAGATGATGTGCTCACAAGGAGCCCTGGTGGCACAGTGGTGGCAGTGTCTCAGTGCCCGTGGGAAGGTGGTGATTTGAAGCCACCTTCAATGGGGGAAAGATGGGGCAGTATACTTCTGTGAAGATGTACCGCCTTGGAAACCCCAAGGGACACTTCTACTCTGTCCCACACGGTCACTGTGCATTGGAATAGACTCCACAGCAGTGGGTGTGGGTTTCCGTCTTTAATCAACTCAATGACTAAGTTTCGGTTTTGTAAATAAAATTGGCAATATACAAAAGTAGCTTCTTTAAAAATGAATGTGAAATACCTATCTACTCCAGAGTTTTGGAAGAAATGGGGTTGAAAGTTCTGCTCGAACTTCATGGCCTTGGGCTAATGACCTCCCTAAGTCTTAGATTCACCATCATATGAAAGTATATGTCATCAGTTTGTTGTAATTTACAATACTATAAGTGACTTGCCTAACATTGTGGCAACGGTAACCAAACCAAAACAAAAAACAAACCCACTACCAGCTCTATTTGCTTGGCCTAAGTAGGTCTAGCCTCTGGGGTAAAACCCAAACCCAATCCACTGCCACTGAGTTGGTTCTGACTCATAGTGACTCTGTGTAGGGTTTCTGAGACCATATATCTTTCTCCTGAGCTGTAATTGGTAGATTCAAACTGCTGAACTTATGGTAAGCAGCCCATCTAACCCACTACACCAATAGGGCTCTTAAGCCTCGAGGATGCTATTGTTCTTGTTAAGTACTTTCTAGTTGGTTCCAACTCAGAGCAAACCTATATAGGATTTCTGAGGAGTGGCTGGTGGGTTTGAATCTCTGACCTTGTAGCTAGCAGTTTAGTGCTTATCCTATAGCAAGGCACCAGGAGCATCTGGAATAGCTTCAATTTAGCACTGGAAAGTCAGTTTGACCCACATGGTTGGTGGTTCAAGCTCACCAGCTGCTCCTTGGAAACCCTCTACAGGGTTGCTATGGGTTAGAATCGACTTGATGGCACTTAACAACAGCTACAAATTTTATTATAGTCCACCTCATCCTCTAAGTATGAGCAAGTAGCTAGCTCTGGAATAAACTGGAAATATATGGAGACAAGTCTACAGTACATTCATATTCACATAGCTAATTCTGGTGGCATAATGGGTAAGCACTTGGCTGCTAACCAAAAGGTCACAGGTTCAAACCCACTAGTCACTTGGAAACTCAATGGGGGGCAGTTCTACTCTGTGCTTTAGGATCACTATGAGTCAGAATCAACTCAACCACATACCATACCACCATCATAACATAGTGGGTTTCTGGAAACTTTCATTTTGCACATTTCATAATTCTTGCTTTAAAGTCCTGAATTCTGAATTCATTTTAAAGTCAGAATGGTACCTGTTTCCTTTTTGTACACTGACAGTGCTGTCCCTGATACCTACAGTGCTGTGCCTTACAACACTGACGGTGTTGTAGAAATTAAAAATGAGGCCTACAGCCTCACTTTTGCATATTCTTTTTTCTTACATACTGCATATTCTGAAATTTAAGTAAAACATATTTAGTTGCAAAAATTTGATCATCTCTGCTTCTCATTTATGCCACATGTCCTCATATGAATCACTGAATCCAGGCACTAATTTGTGATGGTTACCTCCGCGCTGTAGGTGAACTTCACAGACGGTGTGTCCTGGCAGGGAAGAATTGCTCTGCAGTGGATGGCCTAAGAGGAGAAGAAAACACACAAGTAGCTATTCTCCATTCTTATATATATATATCAATATCTATATCTATCTATCTATCTATCTATCTATCTATCTATCTATCTATCTATCTATCTATCTATTTATCTATCTCTATATATATCATGCCATTAAGAAATCACTAACATTGCAGGATTATTCTGATCTGTCATTTTTTAAAATAGAAATGATATCTCACATTCCAAAAAGATGTAAAGTAGCAAAAGTTGGTGTATGGATAATAAAATCTCATTTTCCATTTCAAGGTTAGGTTCAGCCCTCACTTTCAGTTGAAGGGTGAAGCACTCTGTGGATCAGTGCTTCCTACGCCAAGTTCTGATAACAGGAGTGTCCGGTAAAAAGCTCCTGGCAATCCTGAGTAAACAAGACTCTGTAGTCAAATAAGTATGCGCACCATGGCACACTACCTCCCTGTACACTAGAGTAACTTAGCCACAGCAGACCTTGGGAGGTACTGAAAAGACCTACAGTTAGGGAACCTGTTCGATTTTTCATACTTATGTTAACATTAAATCGATTTGTCTCTGGTTAGTTATTAATATCCAACAAGATACCAGTCTTTGAAGGAACACAACCTGAAAATGATGATACTGTCTTCACATTTTTAATCTTACAACACACTTTGAAACTAAAAACAAGTAAGACAAGGTGAGAGAAGGACAGTTTCTCTCAATATGTTGTTGTTGTTGGGTGCCATCGAGTCACCACCGACTCATAGCGACCCTATGTACAACAGAACAAAACATTGCCCAGTCCTGGGCCAACCTCACAATTGTTGCCACACTTGAACACACTGATGCTGCCACTTTGCCAATCCATCTCGTTGGGGGTCTTCCTCTTTTTCTCTGACCCTCCACCTTACCAAACATGATATCCTTCTCCAGCAACTGGTCCCTCCTGACAATATGTCCGTAGTATGAAAGATGAAGTTTGGCCATTCTGGCCTCCAAGGAGCACTCTGGCTGCACTTCTTCCAACACAGGTCTGTTGGTTCTTTTGGCAGCCCATGGCACTTTCAATATTCTCCTCTAACACCATAACTCAAATGCATCAATTATTCTATAGTCTTCCTTATTCACTATCCAGTTTTCGATTACATATGAGGTTATTGAAAATACCATGGCTTGGGTCAGGTGCACCTTAGTCCTCAAGCTGACATCTTTGCTCTTCAACACATTAAAAAGGTCCTGTGCAGCATATTTTCCCAATGCAATATGTTGTTTGATTTCTTGACTGCTGCTTCCATGAGTGTTGATGGTGGATCTAAGAAGAATGAAGTCCTTAACTTCAATCTTTTCTCAGTTGATAAGAATGTTGTTTATTGGTCCAGTGGTGAGGATTTTTGCTTTCTTTACATTGAGATGCAATCCATATTGAAGGCTGTGCTCTTTGATCTTCATCAGTAAATGTTTTAAGTCCTCTTCACTTTTAGCAAGCAAGGTTGTATCATCTGCATATCTTAGGTTGTTAATGAGTCTTCCTCCAGTCTCAATACAGACATGTTCATGTAACATGCAAAGTGTTTCCTAGGTTCCTTATCAATCTGTCATAAACACTATTTCAGCCAAGAAAAGCAGCTGGAACACCTAGTGGTTTATAAAACCTAGTCTGTCTACAAATAAGTCTATGTGATAGCTGGCGAGAGAAGGAAGCTGAGTCTCATTGGTACAAGTCCTACTGAGCTTAAATGATACTGATATGATTATCCTTCTCTGAAGCTGTCAGAAATCCTAGACATTGCAAACTTCCTTAAAAACCCCAAACTCATTTCATAGCTAGAAGATTCCCCATGAGCAGGGGTTCCTGAATAACATCTTGACAGATTAAGCAGGACCAGAGAGCCACCTGATTCTCCTTCCAAAATAGAATTCCAGGACCATGCTGCTAGAATTCTTTAAGGGCCCCTAGTTAAGGTCCTTGGTTAGATTTGGCACTGCATATGTTTCATTGTATAAGATCAAATATACAGAGAGAACTGTAAGAAAAGTCATCCGAGAAAATCACATTTACACATTTCCCATGTAGTAATTTATTAACTTAACTGATATCTCTTTCCTATATTATACATACTACTGCCAATATGAAATAGAATAATATAGTCAAAATTCATATGTTTTGTAATTCATGTATCTTGCATTTTTTGCCAACTTAAGCTTGTGGACATTCTATAAGAAATACTGCTTGAAAAATCAGATCTTACTAAAAAACAGAGTGTACAATTTGTACCTGTATGCCAGGATTATCACATCTCTTCCAAATTAATGAACTAAAGTCTCTTAGATTAAAGAGATTATTTCAATTTACAATAGAAAATAAACATGATTGATTAATATGCTAATAGTGTTTCCTTCTTTACAGACTTACACATAATTTGAGCCTACTGTAATATCTATCATACATGAAGATGGGAAGGATTATATTTGCAAATACCTAGCACAATACTTGGAAGTATGTTGTTGTTGTGAAGTGCCATCGAGTCGGTTCCGACCCATATAGCAAATGCTTAATAAAGTGACTTCTGTAATTGTGAATTATTTGATTACTAATAGAATTAAGTATATTTTCTTTCTCAGAAGAATATTTGATACTTATCCTTATAACAGATTGCCTCTAATTATATTTGTCATTTTTAAACAGAAAATAAAGACAGTTTTTAAAGGTCCATTTAATATATTTATATAATATATTCATTGGTAAATGTATAATGCCAAGTTGGAAAGACTAAACTCGATAGGGGCCAGTCTGGGCAATGGTGTCTGGAGAGGGTCGGGGGATAAGATCTACTGCTAGCATTTTCTTATAACAAAATCATACTACTCTTGTTTTGCTCATTGTTTTTCCTTTTATTTTACGACCATTTTTTGAGTGCCCATACTGTGCTAGGTTCTAAACCAGGTGCTCAGGATATAAATATGGTTAAGACAGACACCATGCCTTAGATGGTCCAATCCAGGTAGACATGATCTCAAAGTAAAGGAAGTTTATTTTTTTAATGCTATATATGAATGTGTGAATACCAGTATGTATAAACATATGTTGTTGTCGTTTTTAAGTGCCTTTGAGTCAGTTTGGACTCATAGCAACCCTGTACAGGGTAAAGCTTTGTAGGAGCAGAAGGCCTCATCTTTTTCTCACAGAACGGTTGATGGGCTCGAACTTCCAACCTTGTGGTACGTAGTCCGGTGCTCATTATATGGAGCCACTGTGCTCCCAAATAAATAAATATTTACACATGTATATATTTTGTGTATAGAGAAACACAAAAAGAAAACACATATTTTAATCTAATTTATACAATAAATTAAAATACTGTATTAGGGAAGATCCACATATCTATAAGACCACGGTCCATTTTACTTCATTACACTGCATGTCTTGGGAGTTTTCTGTGTAATAAATCATTCCAGAGTTCTTTTTACCTGGCACTGACTAAAGAGATATGGGTGTTCCTTCCCAGAAGTTTGCTCAGGTGTGAGCCACTGAAGAGCAGTCGAATTTGGAGATGTCTCAAAGGAAATTTCTATAATGACTTCTTGATTTCTGTATGAAACAAATAAATATATTAGTAGACTGTAATCCTATCTCAGAGGACAGTTAAAAGATAGCTACAATTTGCATTCAGAATACATGTGCTGAATAATACAAACAATACTGTTGGTGATCTCATGGCTGGTGGGGGCACCCATGACTGACTGAGGGTGAGCTCTAGGAAGCCTAAATTCTAACATGGCTAAAGTTTACCTCTTGGTGTTCTTACCTGAATGCCACCTTGTGTGTCCCTGCTACTAAAACCGTAACAGGAATGACTAAGAGTCAAATGCCCCACTGTGTGATATTATTTTGACAGTGGGAAAGTGAGAGAGGTCATTCTGGAACCTGAACTACCTCAGTGATAGGTCCTTGAGCAGCGCTGGACTGTGACAAAATTAAGTCAAGAAGAAACTGACACTCACTCACCATTTAGAAACTCATCACTTTTGTGTCTGTTGAATCTAATAATTAAATGTGTGCTTCTATTTTGTTTCTCCTTTTAAAACTCTTTTTTTATTAATTAATTTTCATTGTATTTTACGAAATATCACTCTGTAATTGGAAATAACAAACACTGGCCCTTCATCTGAGATAACTAGACAAGGAAACACTGAGAATGTTGGAGCCCACAAACACACCTGGTAACAGCACTTCCTGGTGCTGTGAACTTGGGCAAATGATTTGATGTTCCTATGCCATACATTTCTTCATCTGTAGACTGAGGTTAAAAACACCTACCTCCTAAACTATGCTGGGGTATTTCTTTTTGCTTTATTAAAAGGGAAGAAAAGACACAACATTAGCCATGGAAAGGTAGGGGTAGATTAGCCTTGTTCTAGGCCAATGATTTTCTACCTTTCCCACTTCTCAAAAAAAACCCCCAAAGAGTGTAATATACTTCCACAGGACAATGCTGGCTACCAATGTCTTGGGTAAGTTACTTTATTTCTCTGAGGTTCTCTTTCTTCATCAGTAACATGCAATTCATACTATGTAGGGATGCTGTAAGGGTTAGCTAAAAGAATGCATCTAGAGCATTCATCCCAAGATTGGCACATAGTAACCAATCTCTTCTTGTCATTGTTGTTATTCCATTCATAAAAGTGGCTGGCCTCTTGGGCAAGGTGGGGGAAGATGCACAGCAGGTAATCTTGAAAAGCCTGCTTAACCATGCCCCCATCACCACTCTAGGTATTGGTAAAATGATAAATAGTAAAACATAACAGTTCCTAAGGTTCTATTCTTAAGTATTTTCTCCAGCAATTTCTTTAGTATCTTAAAAAATAAATCATAAGTAATTACCATGGAGTTGATTTCCAACTTATGGTGACCCTATAGCTACACAATGGAGTCCTGGTGTGGCGCTGTGGGTTAATGCGCTGAACTGCAAAGTCAGTTTGATCCTCAAGGTCGGTGATTCGAGCTCACGACCCACTCCTCGGAAACCCTATACAGGGTAGCTATGGGTCAGAACCAACTCGAACAACAACAACAGGACAACACAGAACTTCCCTAGAAAGTGTGAGAATCTGTGATTGTTATGGAAGTAGATTGTCACATCTTTCTCCCACAGAGCTGCTAGTGGGCTCAAGTCACCAAACTTTTGGTTAGCAATCAAGTGCTTAGCCACTGAGTCACCGGGGATCCTTTTGTTGTTGTTAAGGGCTATTGAGTTGGTTCCAAGTCATAGCGAGCCTATGTAGGATTTCTGAGGAGTGGCTGGTAGGAGGGGTCTTTTTAGAATATATGATTTTTACTATAAATGTCAATATGAACAAAGTTCAGTAGGAACAGTGTGCCAACAGCCACACATACCCAAACTAAAAAAACTGAAAGAAAAACTTGTAAAATATTTAAAAATACATGGTCTCCATTATGCAATTATAAAAGAGAAAGATAACATTCATACTTGCTCAGAGGAACAGGGAGAAAGATTTCCATTGGTGATCCTTTGTAACTCTGTCTTTCTCTAAGAGCATATTTGACTTCTTGTCCTTTGATCACCACTTTTTCTATTGTAAGATCCTTCGTATCCAAATTCTGTAATTAGAGTAATATTTTTAAATAATGAGAACATGGTTTTATACATCAGAGAAAATTAGCATTAGGTAACTATGGTGACTGGAGTTCTGGTGCAGCGCTGCAGGATCAGCACTAAAGCAAGGTCGGTGGTTCAAGCTCACCAGCCACTCCTACGAAACCCTATACAGTGGTGCTATGAATGAGAACTGACTAGACAGCATTTAGCACAACAACAACTATGGTGACTACAGATAGAATGGAACCAATTACCAATGGAGAGAAAAAAGTTCCAGGAATCAAGAGAGTCAAAAGTTATTTGTTTATGAATCAATTTCATGAGGCTACAACTCTCAGTTGTTTGGACAAACAGTAGTCTAGCTGACGTCTTTGAGTAGTTGTTATTGTTGTTAAGCGCCATCAAGTTAGTTTCGATTCATGGCAAACTTGTCTAGGATTTCCAAAGAGCAGCTAGTGGGTTTGAACTACAGACCTTGTGGTTCAGTGCATTATCCTGCATCACCACACCAAGACTCCCTTGGAATATTTTTTGGTGATTAAATCAGTTGGCCTTGAGTAGAGCAGATTGCCTTTCATAAAGTAATATAATTACCTAATAATTTTCCATAATGCATCCTTCCATGCTGCAGTCTAATGCCATGTAATCTATCAATCAAACTAGTGTTGTTCGGTGCCGTTGACTTAGTTCTGACTCATAGGGGCTCTATGTACAACAGAACGAAATACTGCCCGATCATAGGCCAGTCTCATAATCGTTATGTTTGAGCTCACTGTTGTGGCCACTGTGCCAATCCATCTCGTTAAGGGTCTCCCTCTTTTTCACTGAACTTCTTCTACTTTACCAAGCATAACCGGTCCCTCTTGATAACATGTCTAAAGTATGTGAGGTAAAGTCTCACCTCTAAAGAGTACTCTGACTCTACTTCTTCCAACATAGATTTGTTTGTTCTTTGGGAAGTCTACCGCAATTTCATACTCGTGCAGAAGTCCTAAACCTAATTCCTTATGAGCTATCAAAAGACTAGAATAAATAGACACACACAAGGGAAGACAGACATGTGAGGATAATCCACAAGCAAATGAATGTCAAGGATCACTGGCAGAAACTAGGTGTGAGTGCACAGGTGAAATTAATAATGTGGGACTGTAAGATAAGCATTCGACCTCAAGGTCAGTTTGAACCACAAGGTCGGTGGTTCAAACTTACCAGCCACTCCTCAAGGTCGCTATGTGTTAGAACCGACTCATGGTCCTAAACAAGAGCAACAACAAGACCCTGAATTGGACTTGTTAGCCTCTTAAACTGTCAGACAATAAATCTTTGCTCTTTAACCCCCTCCTCCCTTTGTGGTAGTTGTGTTACTGTACCCATGCACTACCATAGTGACCCTAGACAGAGTTTCCAAAGACATAAATTTTTATGGATGCAGAAGGCCTCCTCTTTCTTCTGTGGAGCAGATGGTGGGTTTGAACTGAAGACCTTACGGATAAGTCCAGTGCTTATACTACATGGCTAAGCAGCTTCTTTGATTTTACACCAAAATGGTTTTCCTTGTCCTCCTTTTTGTTAAGTGACATTGAGTCAGTTCTGGCTCACAGAGATCTGGTAGAGGGTTTCTAAGGAGTGCCTGGTGGGTTTGAATCACCAATCTTGGGGTTAGCAAGATTGTGTTCTGTTTCTCCTATTCTTTCTTAGTCTCTCTTCCTTCAAATTCCTTACTTATTTTTAATCTTACTATACTTCATATATTGTTTTTAGCAGTCTCAAATAATTTCTGGATCAAAGAAAGTTTTTTTTTTAAGTTTCCTGGTGTGGCACTGTAGGATAAGAACTGGACTGCTAACCAAAAGGTGGGTGGTTCAAACCATATCTAGGGTCCTATGAGTCAGAGCCGACTCCACAGCACTTAACAACAACGTTTCATTACTATATTCTTATTCTACTTGTCATTTGCAAAGTGTTGTGATGAAAAAAACTGGACTTCTGCATTAAAAACATAAACACCTTGGTACGATTCTCAGCTCAACTACTGACTCAGTGAAGACTGGAAGGTCTATAGTCAGAAAATTTTGTGTTCAGTTCCTCGATTCTGCCACTTGTAAGTTATATGATCTTGAGCAAGTAACTAAATTGACTGTGAACAAAATTTAGTGAAAATAAACCAACACTTCAGAAGATGTGTTTCAAAAACGGAGAATTAGTCCTATTAGAGGTTCTCCAGCATTCCCCTAGCATCATGAACTCTAAGAACTGCGAGAAAAAGGAACATAGGTTGATTGCCTTCTCACCTAGCATGGACAAGGGATCTTCTCTATCATTCTCACTTGCCAACAAACTGATTCCAACGTACAGTGAGCCTGTATAGGGTTTCTGAGGCTATAAATCTTTACTGGTGCAGAAAGCCTCATCTTTCTCCCTCAGAGTGGGTGGTGAGTTTGAACTGCTGACCTTTGGGTTCACAGTCCAGTGCTTATGCTACAGTGCTATCAAGGCTGCATCTCTGACATTGTTGTTGTTAAGTGCCACCAAATCAGTTCTGACTCACAGTGACCCTATATAAGGTTTCTGAAGAGTGGGTGGTGGGTTTGAACCACCAATCTTGCAGTTCAAACTGACTTTGTGGTCCAGTGCATTACCCTGTAGCGCCACATTAGCGGTTACTTACATTGCTATCTCAGACCCAAGACACAGCTAGAACTAGTACAGTGTTGCTGGTGTTATGTGCTGTTGAGTTGGTTCCAACTCATAGCAACCCTGTATAGGGTCTCCAAGGAGCAGATGGAGAGTTTGAATCGCAGACCTTGCTGTTCAAACTGACCTTATGATCGAGTGCTTATCCTACAATGGCACAGACCACTTTTAATATAGGCACTGTTTTCTAATTGAATTCATCCACTAATCAACTCATCCAACTTTTGCATCCTCTATGGCACTTAATAACAACAACAACAATGGCAGTGTGGGTTTGTGGGTTAATGCACTAGACTGCAAAGTCAGTTTGAACCACAAAGTTGGCGGTTCAAGCTCACCAGTTGCTCCTCATAAACCCTATGGGTCGGAACTGACTCAATGGCACTTAACAACAACAATAACAATATGCCATGTACAATACTAAGAACTGGAGATACAACGAGCCTATAATCTAGTGGGAGAAATAATGCATGGTCATATTCAACAGTGATAAGCTATCAAAATTTGATTTCTTTTAATAAATGGAAAAATTGCATTGGAACAGAACTTAACTTCAACCCTGCCCAGATAAAGCCGCCATTGCAATAAAGATAGCATAGTACTTCAAGTGGATCAAAGTACAACCTATAGGGAAATGTTTACTTTCTTGCTCATTTTTAATAAAAATACTTTAAAATACAAATACTTTTTTCATTTTAAGTAAAAATACTTTTATTTCTTTCTGATGGCACTTTTGTTGACTTCCAGAGTGGTTGTCCTTGCTTTCAAATCAGAATTAGTCTAATAAAATGCTATTCTTTTTGCTAAGTGCTGTCAAGTCAGTTCTGACTCATAGCAACCCTGAATAGAGTTTCCCAGAAGCAGCGGGTGGGTTTGAGTCGCTGACTTTATGGTTTACAGTCCAGTACTGATACTACAGTACCACACCAGGAGTCCAATAATATACTAAAGGACATGACGTATGAAAGTTATGTGCTTTAGTTCACACTGATGAACTAAAAAAGCCACCAGTTTCTCTCAACACTTAACATTTTGTCCAAAAACTTCACCCCACTAATTTCCCTTGGTCGAGTCTACCACATACCTGATCTTCTGATTGCAGAGGTTTAATAGTTATCACCCTGCTAAACCTGTGTAAATATCATCCTGAATTGATAAAGAGGCCAACTATGGTTGGCCTTTGAATGTCCCTCTCATTCAATCCTTCATTTCAACTATTTTGGTGAAAGCTGAAAAAACAGGTTACGTTATACAAATAATAAAGTGGAATAGCAGTTCATGAATCTAACCACATTTTTAGTTATTAAAATGGCTCAAAAGTTTGTAGCAGTATTAGCACATCAGCTTCTTGGCATCAAGTACAACTACTTGCTTCTTGGGGGGGGGGGGTGCTTAATGTATTGAGTCCTCCTTGGAAAGCTTGTTTTTGTTAAGTGCCACGGAGTTGGTTTTGACTCATAGTGACCCTGTGTAGGTTTTTCAAGCAGCGGCTGGTGGGTTTGAACCACCGACCTTCCTTATCCTACAGTGCCACACCGGGACTTGTGTGTCCCAAAACCAAAAACCCGTTGCAGTCGCGTCTATCCTGTCTCTTAGTTACCATATAGGGTAGAGTAGAGCTGTAATCTTTACATCTTTCTCTCTTGGAGCAGCTGGTGGGTTCCAACGGCCCACCTTTAAATTAAAAGACGAGTGTTTATAAAACAGCCAACGTTCCTCGTGAGTGCCCCACGCATCCTTTAAGTCACAGAGAACAAGGGTGATTAGTTGGGAAGAACCATGACCCCAGAGAGAAAGAGCTGCAGCCATCATGGAAGAAGGCAGAGACTGGAAGCAGGGCAGAGGGAAGGGGCTTTCTAAAGGGGAGGAGAATCACTGGCAGTGTCGGGAGGATGAGACGACCCACGGTTTCCTGTAGAGTTTTAGGCAGAAATACAGGAGCCGGGTAGGGAAGAAGAAGGTCTGGAACTTGGATGCGACTGCCAAATAAGGAAGGTAGCTGAAGACTGAGAGAGGGGGGCTCTGGGATGCGGCCCGAGGAAACGAAGCCACAGTAAGGCTAGCACTGGGAACTAGGATTAAGGGCGGAAGGAAGATTGGTGCAAAATTGAAACCTGGGGTGCTGGGTGAGAAGCGAGGCTTGGATGTGGCTCTAGGATGTGCTCAGTTCCTGGGGCTTGGATGTGGCTCTAGGATGTGCTCAGTTCCTGGGGAGAGGGTCTGAGGGGAGAAGGGGAATTAAGTACTTGTGGGAAGGGATGCAGACGATTTAGGCAGAGTGGAGAAGAGGGCGCTAAGAGGGCTCTGAAGATCGGCGCAGGACATGGGTTGGGGTCTGCCGAGCGGCACTGAGGGATGCGTGGGGCTGAGGAGTGGCTGCAGCGGGATGATCAGGCCTCGCGCCGCGGGGACAAGGACGATCGGCGAGGGGGCAGCGGCCCGGGAGAGTAGGCATGGAGTCGGGGTGCGCGTTCCCACCGTACCAGGCTGCGGAGATTGTCCTCCAGAGACTCCACAGTGAGCGCGACGGTCCCGGTCAGCGTTCGACGAGTAAAATCAACGATGCAGCGGAGGTGCAGGTGCTTGGTCCTGCATACAGAAGCCGGCGATGCAAGAGAACACGTATCCGATACCTCCGACATGGCTCTGGGAGGCCAACTGCACACCGATCCACACCCTAACTCCGCTGACAGACTGCTCGACTGAGAGCTACTGGAGGAGAGAGAGAGTTAAAGAAGAGGCGGAGGGATTCGTGACGCACGCTGGGAAAGGAAGTTTCCCAGAATCGTTGGAGAGTGGGGATAGGAATGAATGAAACCACAAGTTCCGTGGTGCAGCACGACAGGGCTTACGCTATGCTACCTGGGAGAGAGGTAGTGTGCCTGTGTGTACGTGTGCCTGTGTGTAGGCGAGGCGACAGTTGGGGAAAGGGTGTGCAGAAAAAAGATGATAAACGGAGCGAGGACGTCTTACTTTTAGTTTCTTTTAACTTCAGTGGAAATTATAGTGACAAGGAAAAAATGGCAAGCATTGAAGGTAACAAAGATAGGAACAGATAGAAATAGATAAAGGTCTTGCTTTAAAGCTGCTTTTCATGTGATTCCTCGTTAGTATAGTGGTAAGTATCCCCGCCTGTCACGCGGGAGACCGGGGTTCGATTCCCCGACGGGGAGACACAAAGGAGCTTTTTGGTTTCTTAATAAATTACAAAATGATCTTGCAAACTTTTAAAAAAGCTAATATGAAAAAGAATAGTCAACTTAAAGTTAGTGGAATAAAAATTGTCTTGCAAACTTTTAAAAAGATAATATGAAAGATAATAGCTTAAAGTTGTTATGTGCCGTGGAGTCGGTTCCGACCCTTAGCGACCCTTGTACAGGGTTTCCGAGGCTGTAAATCTTTACGGGAGCAGAAGGCCTCCTCTTTCTCCCGCGGAACAGCTGGTAGTTTCGAACTGCTGACCTTGAGGTTCGCAGCCCGATTCGTAACCACAAGTTGTTGTTGTTGTCAGGTGCCATCGAGTCGGAACCGACTCATAGCGACCCCATGCACAGCAGAACGAAACAATGTTCGATCCTGGGCCAACCTCACCACCGCTGCCACCCCCGAGTCCATCAATGATGCCACCTGGCCGATCCATCTCGTTGGAGGTCTTCCTCTTTTTCTCTGACCCTCCACCCTACCCAGCATGACATCCTTCTCCAATGATTGTTTCCTCCGGACTACATGTCCAAAGTAGGAGAGACAAAGCTTAGCCATCATGGCCTCCAAGGAGCACTCTGGCTGCACTTCTTCCAAAACAGATCTATTGGTTCTTTTGGCGGTCCATGGCACCCTCAGTATTCTCCTCCAACACCACAACTCAAAGGCATCAATTCTTCTACGATCCTCTTTATTCACTGTCCAGCTTTCGCATCCATATGAGGCTATTGAAAACACAATGGCCTGGGTCAGGCGCACCCTAGTCCTCAAATAAAAATTGTCTTGCAAACTTCTAAAAAGCTAATATGAAAAATAATAGTCAACTTAAAGTTAGTGGTCAGATTTGTATATTTAAGAACAGTTGTTGTACCATGGCATGTTCATTTCCGTCAGTCAAACTAGTACTTATTTAGTGCTTTTTACGCCTGTCACCACCAACACCACGCCTATCCAGGCATAAGATCTAAAACCAAAGAAAGCAATTTAGGCAGATTATTTCAACATACTTGTCCTGGTGTAGTGCTGTAGGATAAAGCACTGGACCACAACGTCCTTTTGAACAGCAAGGTTGTCAGTTCAAACTCATCAGCTGCTCTTTGGAAACCTGTATAGGTTCGCTATGAGTCGGAACCGACTCCAAGATATTTAACAACAACAACATACTATTATGAGAAGATTCTCTGATATGAGCATACCAACACACTCATCAATTATCTTCCACTTCTAAAATTTCAAATTCTTTAGAAATGGCCATGCCGTGGCTTTGGCTCTTTTTGTTTTGTCTTATGTGACGTTGATGTTATGTGCCGTCGATTCAGTTCCGACTCAGCTACCGCGTACAGGGTTTTTCCCGCAGAACAGCTCGGAGTTTCGAAGTGCCAATTCTGAGGTTAGCAGCCCGACTTGTAACCACTACGCTACATACTTGAGAGCATTCATTACATGTTAGTTGATTTTATTACTGTTGGCTTTGTTTTGTCTGTTTTAATAATTTTGATATTTACATTATTATTATTATATTTGTTGTTGTTTGTGCCATGGAGTCGGTTCCAACTCCTAGTGACCCTGTACAGGGTTTCTGAGGCTGTAAATCTTACAGGAACAAAAAGCCTCATCTTTCTCCCATGAAACAGCTGGTAGTTTCCAACTGCTGACCATGAGATTAGCAGCCCGATTCTTCACCACTACGCTACCAGAGCTCCTGTACAGCAGCAGGAAGCCTCATCTTTCTCCCACGAAACAGCTGGTAGTTTCCAACTGCCAACCATAAGATGAGCAGCCTGATTCGTGTTTTTTTTTTAGTGTTTTTTTTTTTTTTTTTTTAGCCAAAATTTTTAGGAATACCTAAAAGTGACTAACAGTTCTTCATTACTACTAGCCACTGCCATATAATCCAATCTGTTTATAGTAACCCTGTACACAGAGTAGAACTACTGCCCTATAGGATTTCAAAGGATATAAATCTTTATGCAAGCAGATTGCTGCTCCATCTTTTATCTGCTGAGCAGCTAATGGATTGGACATTTCTCATAACAGCAGGGTTCTTGAACCACTGCAAAACACCAATATTCTTTTCCGCTAAATTAACCCTCTCAGAAGGGTTTTTGATATTATCAATGATCAAGTGTCTGAAATAGGTTTATATTTTGTTAACACATTCCTTAAAAGACTGTGAAGACTTACTATTATTATTCTTACTTCACATGTTGTCATCAAGGGCTGTGAGGTGGTTACAACTCATAGCCACCCTGTATAGGGTTTCCAATTAGTGGCTGGTGGGTTTGAACTGCAGACCTTGCAGTTAGCATTCCAGTGCTTATCCTATAGTGCCACACCAGGACTGCATTATTGTTGTTGTTAAGTGTCATCTAGTCGGTTCTGACCCATAGCAACCCTATATAGGGTTTCCGAGGAGCAGCCAGTGAGCTTGAACCGCCGACCTTATGGTTCAAACTGACTTTGGAATCTGGTGCATTAACCCATCACCACACCAGGACTATAGGACTCTGCAGACCCTTCCTTTAAAAAATATTCAATGCAGTTTTTTTGTGAGTATTCTATTGCATGGAGTTCTGGTGTGGCACTGTAGGCCAAGTCATTTGAACCACAACATCGGTGGCTCAGGCTCACCAGCTGCTCCTTGGAAACCTGATACAGGGTCGCTATGGGTTGGAACTGACTCCACGGCACTTAACAACAACAAACAAACACAATTCTATTACACTATGCTCCCTAGAACGGTTGGGGAAGGCTCCATCCCATAGCTCTACCAACCAATGACCTAAACCAGCATGCTCAAGGCCCCAGAAGAACCAACTATAAATGAAGTTCTAAAGGGACAAGTTCTATCCGTTTAGAGAGCATCAGGAATACCTTTATGGATGACATAACATTTGAAATGAGACTTGAAAGATGTTCACATTTTCAAAGGACAAAGCGGTATGAGTTGTAGAGTTAGACACAGAGAATGGCGGGGAGGGGGCGCTGGAAGGGGAGACAGATTCCCCAGTGGACACAGTAGCAAAAATCAAGACAGAGAGTCAAAATTCCAGGTGTGTTTGGGACTGAACAATTCTGTGGGTACAAAATCCTACAAGTTTACCCAATGCTTCAGACACTTATTAATAATTTTCCCTTTTTCTTCATGATATGTATCTTGCATGCTTAGGCCGCTAACTGCAATCTAATCCCCCAGCCACTTGCTTGCATGAGAAAGATGAGGCTTTTTGCTTCCGTAAAGATTTACAGTCTCAGAACCCCTATACAGGGCCATTATGAGTTGGAACCAACTCAACAACACGCAACAACAAAGATTTATAGCCTCAGAAATGCTACATGGAGTTGCTATGCATTGAGTTGATGACAGTGGTTGGGTAGTAAAACTTCAATATACAAGAGGGTTTTTGAAGTCCCCTCAGTATATATCCCAGAATTCTTTGAAGCTATGGTCATGTAATTAAGTTCTGGCCAATGGAATTATGACTTCTGGGAAGTGTCCTTCAAAGTAACTTTTCTTTATTCTTTTGTCTGGAATGCATGCAGACATGAAGGCTAGAGTTGCAACTGCCATATTGTATCATGAGATTGAAACCATGTACTGAGGCTGGCGGAGAAGCGAGATAGAATGAGCCATGAGCCAAGTCTCTGGGGATCGTAGAGCCATGTGTGAATGGCCTGCCTCTGGATTTCTTTAAGAGAAAAATAAACTTCTGCTCTGTTGTTACCTGCTGTCAAGTCGGCCACTGACTCATGGTGATCCCATATGTTAGAGGGTAAAACTGCACCATAGGGTTTTCTTGGCTTTCTTAGAGACGCTTGTTGTTGTTGTTGTTAAGTGCTGTGGAGTTGGTTCCGACTCTTAGCGATCCTGTGTAGGGTTTCCAAGGAGCTACTGGTGATTCTGAACCGCCAGCCTTGCAGCTCAAACTGACCTTGTGGTCTGGCACATTATCCCATATAGCCGCTGGATGGCTTCAAACCACCAGCCTTTAGTTTAGCAGACATGCAAACTGCTTTCATCACCTGGACTCCTATTTTGTTTGTGCCCTCAAATCTGTTCCAACTCATATTGACCCTATATAGTTTCCAAGGAGTGCTAATGGGTTTGAACTTATGAACTTGCAGTTAGTAATCCAGTGCTTATCCTATAGCACCACACCAGGACTCCTGTTTTGTTTAAGTCAGTGTTGTTTTGGGTTTTCAGTCATTCAAATAGAACTCAATCTTTATTAAGACACTTGATCTCAGTTGGGCAGGCTCATCCATTTTGACCCAGGTATTTGCCCAATCTATCAGTTCATCACCACTTTATTGTGGACAATTGCATACGTGCCACCATTTGTTTTTTGGTTTGTCATACTTTGGTGGCTTGCATGTTGCTGGGATTTCAAATACCAGCATAGTCCAGCCATGGTGGACAGGTTTCAGTGGTGCTCCCAGT